ATGTACAGAATCTGAATATCGCAAAATATTTTAAAAAATTGCAATAATATCGTATCGTGGGATGTATGGTGATTCCCACCTCTACTGGACACTACACAAAGTTATTTCAAATGTGATATTAAGAATAGTAAATGGACATAGTGCTTTTCTACTTTAAGCACCTTAAAGCACTTTTTACTACAAGTCTCATTGTAGTCTCAGGATAAAGAAGGCTTGAATGTTTTGTTGTCGTTAGTTAAAAAACCTGACAGTTTTAAATGACACTCGTGCTTTTTCTAACAGAGCTAGCCGACTGTGCAGCTGGCTACTCATTCCCTTTTTGTTTTTGGTGTTTGCTGTTTTTTTTTTCTTGCTCCATGACACCATGTTGTAAAAATAAATAAATATGTCAAAATTAATAGTGCTGACATTCCGAGTCCCAAATTTTGTTCTTTATCTATTTTTCTTTCCTCGTTGGTAAGAAATTAACGACTGAGTTTGTGAAGAGGCTCCAAGGCTTGAGAGGATGCTTTTCTCTTTAATTTTAGAACAGATCGGCCCTTGCATACATAACATGGCTTCTCCCTCTTTAGACCGAACGCTGTTAGTCTTATCTGTGCTGATGAGATAGAGATGTACATGTTGTTTTTGTGCGTGCACCTAACCCGTTAAACTGAAATATGTTTGAAACAAGGATCTGCAACTGTGCTAGAAGCAGACAGACTCCTCCCTCTAACAGGGGGGTCTGATCAAAACAACGGGGGGTCTAAACAAAGATGTAATTTGTTGGTTAACTCGAATGATTTCTCGAAAATTCGATGAAGTGAGTAGCCAAATGAAGCCAAACACCAGGTGTGCGCTGATGTCTCAGTAAAAGTGCCTTTACTTTCAGTTCAGCTCTAAAAGACTTTATTCAGGCTTGTCAGTCAAAGTTCTGGGCTAAAACACAAGGACACTTAAAAAAAAAATAAAACAATTCAGATGCAGAGATTCAATAAGCTTCGAGCTATAATTCATATCATGGAAATATAAATGCTAATGCCCTCTCTTTTGTGCATGCAATGTGAAACACAAAGCACTGCAGTGAGTCATTCCTTTCTCAAATTTCTGGAACCAGCCTAAAGTTGTTGATGTAATGTCCTTAGCCCAATGAAAATAGGCCACTGAAGTCCATGAGGTGTTCACTAGTGTGTTATTCAACTAGCAGTAGGCCTTCTGGCATTTGTTCCTCTCCTTGTATGTGGAAGGGTCCCGTGGGAGAGTGAGCCGGTGGAAACGGAGAGAGGAGTTGGTGGCGGGGAGGGGGGAGACAGCGACAAAGAGGATGCTTTTAGTGTACCGAGCCAAATAAAGCACCTTTTCTCTGATAAAGCAGTGATGAAGCTAAAGAGAAGGAGACTGTGAGTGTAATAGAAGAGAGAGAGAGAGAGGGATTCAGGGGTTTGGTGCGAAGAAACAGGAGAATGAGCTAAACCTTGTGTTTCGAAAAGACGTGTCTTCGGATCATTTCTGATGTAGTGCAGGAAAAGAAAGTCGTACAACCTTGACTAAGTTGTCTCTCTGAGTATTTTTTCTCTCATTTTGTGCAATTCTTACTCTCATTCATATTCCCTCTCACTTCTCTTTGCACACTCATCCTTTCAGTGTGGTGATTTATCCCTTCATCTCCAGAGTGTCACTGAAGAGAGCCGTTTGGCTCTCCAGACTAATAACCGTCGCTGAGATGGAGAGAGGATAATGTTATTGACTTCCAAGCTAGAAAGCAGCTGGCAGTGTGTGTGTGTGTGTGTGTGTGCGTGCGTGCGTGTGTTTCTATGTGTCATGTACTGTCATTCTGGGTTGTATTTTTCTGTGTTGTTTAGATTTCTGGTGTGCGTATTTAAAATCTGTGAACATCCGTGTTGTGAAAGCTGCTTCTTTCACCAGTACACCAAACAGTTAGCTCTGCTGCTGCAAGCTTGGATTAGCATAGTTGTACTAAATGCAGACCTTGCTTCACAAATAGTAAATACCGCTTTCCTCAATGACAATAATTCTGTATTTACCTCCACATGTCAGGATCAGTTGATTTGATTGCAGCCAAACAGGATTTGCTAAAGCGGCTGACATTTGTTTTTCATAAAACACCCACTCATGTTGCCATATTTTTATTATTATCACGTGCAGGAACCTGAATCACAAAAGTTTACAGCATGTGTTTAAAAAAAAAAAAAAGCTATGTATGAAACAATGATGATCCAGATGATATGGTGGTCCTTGCTCCTTGCTCAGAGGCTATGGTAGTAGCACTCAAAGCACTGGAAAATCTCTGTAGGCAAGGCAAGAAAGAAGAAGAGAGATGGCAGAGTTCAGAGTGAACACAGATACAGAGACATGGTGGCTGGGCATCCTGCATCATGTTTGCTTCCACGTGATAAAGAAAGCAGATGTGAGTGTGTGAATGCTGTCAAAAAAATCCAAGCTCACCTTTTGCCTGTTGATGCTTTTGTGCATCTTTTTTATATGTCTGTGGTTGTAAACTGAGACGTACTGCATTGTAGCTTATTTACCTTCATGCTTAAAGTTTGCAATCGGCCCTGCAGTAAGGTTAAAAGGAGGAAGCTCAAGGAAGGTGAGGGTAATCCATCGCTACTCTTATCTCTTGAAGGAGCAAATCATTGCAAATGCTTGCACACACTAACACACGTGCACGCACACACACACACACGCTACCGAGTGAGAATCACATATTGTTTTGGCTACGGGCTATAACTGGTTCTAGCTGGATTTAAAGCTACAGAAGGGTTTTTTTCTTCATTTTGTCAAGCTCAATGTTAAATGTGCTTCCCTGACTCGTCTCCAGCTTTGTCCCCGAATCTCGTCTGCTCTCCAAGAAATAATTATTACACTCAGCCCTCACATATATTTGGAAATGAGAAGGGATATACTTCTTAGTTATCTTGCCGCCCGTGTTTCATGGTTTGGCTTGAACTAAATATCCGAATGTCTGCGTGTAACCAAATTGCTGTTTCACTTAAAGCGCCACTCGACACGATTGGCTGTTGAGATTAGGTCACAGATCGAGCCTGAGGTTTGGCACCTTGCTCTTCCCCGCCATCCAAATTATATTGGCTTTGAGGGCTCTTTCACAGTGAGTCATGTTTATTTCATTGTCCCTTTTATGGCACCGCTGTTCCCCTTTTAACCCCTCGCCTCCCTGCGTGCAGCTAAATGTTCTGGCAGTACACAGGAGAGTAAGTTATGGAGGTAATAAATATTAGAAGACCTCAGCTTCGACTAGGAATGTGTGCTAATCTGTTTCAAGTGCTGTAGAGGGACTTTGCCTCTCGCCCGCTCTCATCAGTTTCATCCAGGAATTGCATTAATGCTATATTAAACAATTTAATATGTCATTTAAAAACTGTTTAGTTTTTTTAAGGAACAAATGCAATGACCGGGAGCTGTCTGTGCTGTTCCTGGTTCCCAATGCTGCTTCAGATCTGTGCGTCATGTCATGTTTAAAATAACAGCACAGACAAAGATCTTAAAAGCACCACCCAGTTCGTTTCTTTATAGCTGATTCTTTTTATAATGTAATTTCATGTATAAATGCAACTATGACAGTTCATCAAACATCTGTTTGATTTATTAGCATGTCATTCCAACAGCAGCGGTAAGATCTACAAATCTACTTTTCTAATTGCGTATGCTGTGCAATCTTTAATCGGCGTGTCACGTTATCGCAACTGCACACGTTGACTCGCATGCATATGAGATGTTCGGTAAGGAGGAACTGCAGAAAAAAGCCTTCACATTAAGCGCTGTGTTGCTGTAATTACAAGTGTGGATTTTGATGTGGGCCCACAGATTTCCCATGTGGCATTGCAAATTTAGAAACTATGTCAATATAAGCAGTAAACATGCTGAGGAATCCGCGAATGTCCTCGTAAATCAAAATTAACTTGCGGTGGGATTTTATTTTTGTTGTTCTTTTTTAATTTGAATGAGTACCATTTCGCAAGTGTCGACTCTCTTGAATGAAAATAACTTCTTTTTCCTTAAAGGTCTGATGTGTAACTGCTAACTGCCAGTCCTTGAAAGTAGTGAAATTTGACAATAAGTGGCCTGGGTCTCTGGTCTCTCGCAGGGACGAGCTGGAGGCTGCGATGTGCCCGATCCAGTGTCGGAGCGGTATCCAGAGCCAAAACCTCCTTTAGTAGATGGGCCACAGAGGTGACAGGGCGCGTCCCAGTCTCAAAGTGCTCCCTCACGCCAAGTATTCGAATGTTGCATCTGCGCTGTCTCCCCTCAAGGTCTTCGGTCTTGTCCGAAAGAGCTGACACAACTTCTTTCAGATTGTGAACTTGCTTCTCCAAGTGCACAACCCGGTCCTAATACGTGTTTGCATCTTCTTCCAGGCTAGTTAGCTGGCTATGGTGGTCAGTGCAGGTAGTAGCTAGAGCATCAATCTTAGCACAAAGTTCAGTCCTCACTTCATCTATTTGGTCAGAAACATTGCTGCAAAGCGAATCGATCAGCTCATTAAGAGCTTGGCACTTGGTCTCGACTTTTGCTTCCAGCGTAAAAATTTTGGCGACTACGTTCTTCTCTGAGTTAGCTATGGCAGCCATTAGCGCGGCTGTTTCCGGGGATGTAGCATTGCTATCAGTTGCCTTGGCTCCATCAGTCTTTCTGGTGTTTTTGGATCCTGACATTGTTGCAAAGTTCCCTTAGGTGATGCGCACGTTTGCAGTGATAACTCAGCTGACGACAGATAACGCGTTAGTGCCCAATGTCGCAGTATTTATTTGAAAAAATAGTGTATCCCCACAGAGCAACTCCACGTGTCTTTACATGTCGCTGCTCCTACGTCACCCCCCGCTAACTGCCATTCCTGCGATGTAAAAATGATTCAGGTGCGGCTGGTGACGTGTGCTGTATGTGTCGCTGCAGTGTGAATTCACTTAATTAATCGAGGTTCTCCTGCATGTGGACAGGAGCAAAACGGCACGCCGCTGCTGTGTCATTTTAAATAGTAGCGCTCAGAATATCTACGTAGCTGTTCCACTCGTTAAACAAGTCAAATGATTTTATTAGCAAAAGCCTCAAAATAAGAGGTGACATTTGGGTTTGGAGCTGAAACTGTGGCAGTAAAACTAATGATAAGAGTAGCGTGCAGCTTCATGCTCCGTGGCTCTATCCACAGGCAGGTTGGAAACTGACAGAGACTGATGTGGTGAGGTGGAGACACAGCCGGGCTTCTGACAGGAAAGATAATAGCCAATAAGGCAACGCCACTCTGGATGACTGACAGGCTCCAGGGAAGGCCTTGCCTTCCTGCAGTCCTGCTCCATGGAGCAAGTCTCTGCTTAGATATAAACATGATGAGTAGACACACATGCACAAAGGCACACGCTGAGGACTTCTCAATCCAAAGTGACATTTCACCGACTACACAAATTACTGAAGGACAGCTTATTATGAGTTTGTGTACTAGGGCTCAGTCTATAGTGTACATACAGTATGATTCCAGTATGCTTTTATTACTCATTTTAAATTGAATTCAATTTTAATCTGATGACAATACAAAAGAAAAAGCATTATATTAATGACACGAAAGAAAAAACACTCAATTTTGATCAAACAGCCTTTCATCAATCCTTACATCAAATTAGATCACAGACAGCTTTTAGTTTTGGCTAAACTTTAGTTTGTAAAGATAAAAATGTCATGATAAAAAACATAAATGATTATTGACATTTACTAACAAATTAAATATGTATAATGAATAGGGGTGGGGGAAAAAT